GTTTATAAATGTTTATATTATCAATAGCAGTAAGAGAAACAGATTTTTTTCTGATTTCATTTTATTTCTGTATCTACGTCGTATGTTGATGCCAATTAGATGAAAGGAAAAAATATCTGTAACATCATTTAACAACTAAAGAGAATAAATAAATAAAAGTGACGTTGAAATTATACATTTTTTTCATGGACAGTTATAATAAATACAGTAGGTATGGATTGACGAAATGTTCCGTAACCAAATTTTAAAACCTTTTCCTATTTAAATACATCGATAAAGTTTTATTTTAAAAAGCGTACAAATAGAGCTTCTTAGGTTTAATAAATAAAAATAAGTATGAACTAAACTAATTTTTAGTTGCATCATAACATCACTGATGAGATACGCTGAGATATGAAATAGAGTTGCGGTGAAGCTACCCACTATAAATCGGCAAACAAAAACTACGAAAAACTACAATAATCAAGCTTTTGCATCTCTGCAAATGACTAAACTGCTCACTGTTGTCTACTTAGAAAACATTAAAGCTGTTTCTTTGAGAAAAAATCCTGACCAATGAATTAGCACACAGCAGAAATTACAACTTTCGTTTTCTGTCGCATAATTCATATTTATTTCCATGCCAATAATATTTATTTGAGTCTTTAAAGGAAACATTCAAAGAATGTGGCTTTAGAGTACATTGGTTATGATTGAAAACATGGCAATTTATTACCCATCAGGAGCAAGTCCTCAAACTTCCCATATGCTCGGGAAAATATAACATACAAAAATATTAGATAAATTCAATATTTTTATTTTACTCTAAGAAATTATTATGTAATTTAATTTTAGGGCACGTTTTTAAGTAAGATTTCGGTTATTTCATGTTAATATAAAATATTATCTAAATATTCGATCTATGACTGAGCTGAAATTTTTCAATTTAAAAAAACTGTAAGGACACGACGAATGAAAAAACTTAGTTGGATGGTACAGATTGGATTAATACACTACTACTACTTTTAAATTTATATTTTTACCTCAATATCATGGACATAAACATTTGCAATAGCCAACAAAAATATTATTTTAAGATCACAGGTTGATATCTTGATGACTATATTCACTTTCTGATGACAGAAATTATATTTTTAAAACAATTCTGTGAATTTTGTGAATTGCTCTTAAGCAAAATAAAATGTCATTGCTCTACAAAGTAAATATATAAATAGGAATTATATTTAAAAGAAAAAAAAATAAAATGTTTATTTCTTTATTTTTGATACTTACGACGAATTGGAGAGGTTATGATTAAGTTATAAATTCAAGACCTTTCAAAGATGTTTTAATATTGAAAAAATATGTAACTGTTATTCATATACTATAGGCGGATAAACATTGTTACAAACTTCCTGCCAACAAAAAATTTCTTTCAACTTTAACGCCATCTCCAATTTGCTCTGAAAAAAATTAAGTGCACTCCTTGACGAAACAATCGAAAGCTCTATCATTTGTTTTTTTTTTCAAAATCAATATATCTCTTTCCGTTGCCGAGGTACGATGCTGAGGCTTTTATGTGGAATACCCGGTACATAAGGTGTTCTAAAAACCATGTGTTATAGCTTGTAGAGAGGTTCCTTTCCCAATGTATTTTGTTAAAGTTTTTATATTTTTTTCCAAAATATTTTCGAAACGGCATCGAAATTTTATGTTTATAAATATACCTATCGAAGAAAAATATAACAGAAAAAATATTAAGAACGGAGACACTGAATATTTTCACGAAAAAGCAACCAAAACAATTTCGAATCATAATTGATATAGTTATACCGAGGGGTAAACCGCTGAGGAAGTTTTTGTACATGTCCCCTGGAAGTCGGGAAGAAGTTGGAGGAAGTTATAAGGAAGTTGAGGAAGTTGAAAGGAATTCCGAATGAAAGGAATTCCGAAGGAAGTCGGGGAAGTTTTTAAGAATTCCAAGGAAGTTGAGGAAGTCTGGAGGAAGTCAGAAAGTTGGAACCAAACTGCGCATGCGTGAACGGTAAACACATGCGCAGTATTATCTTTTATAGAAAAATGCGGACAATGTTAAACATTTATGTGGAAGAATTACGAAGCAGTCCAGAGAAGGTCCGAGGAACTTTGACGAAGTATAGAGAAGTTTTTGTACAGAATTCAGGGAGCGGTTTACCCCTCGAGTTATACGGAACCTTCATAAATGATTATAAGCCACGTGACCAGTAATTTTGTTTGGAACAGTAATTTTATTTCCATAATGTTGGCAATTTTTCGGTAAAATTAAACATCTTGAACAAACGCCAAAACAAAAAATATCAAGAAATATATTATCAAAAATTAAAAAGTGTGGCGTAAATTATTTTTGCAAAATCATTTCACTGTCAGCTTCAAGATTCCAGAACCCCAATTTCATTCCAATTGATAATGCCGTTTTTGATGTATTTGTAACAAAAATATAATAAAACTACAATACTAGAAACGACGCAGACAGAAGAGAATAACGAATATGTGACGATCAATTTTTGAAATACCAAGTTGAAATTAATTCTCTGTCTATTTTCAGTAGGTACATAAAAAATATAACTTAAGTATCACCTCCTAAGCGATGGCACATGTTTTTGAAACATCCCGTATATGTGTCTACTATTTATATATAAACTCTTTTTATTACAGTCTACAGCAGTGGTTTAAATCTTTCTCCAATTTAGTCTAAATTTCATCACCTTGTGACGTAGAATATTATTTAAACAAAATTCATTGGCCCAGTTTCAAATGCCCTGCATTTCTGTATGGATGATATATAGCAGGCATAAAGATAGTTAACTGTATAGACACAACTCCAGTTAATGTAAAGTATTTCTACGTTTCTCTCTGTTATAAAAAATTATATTTATAAATAAAAGAATTGACTTATTTTATTGACACCTACAGTATTTACTTCCTTTTACTGAGATATTTGATTCTGTTGTTGCATAAGTAAATGTCAGCTGTAAGTATGTAACGATTTCAAGAAAAACTTGAAAATGTAGAGTATAAAACGATAATTGAATTCATGGAGAAGAATAAGATGTTACTCGAAAATCAGGCTTTTTTCGAAAAATAGAAAAGAGTAGTAATTTCTAAAAAATCGAAAGACTGGAGCATGTAAATTTTAGAAAAAGCCCTCAGATTTTGGACAATGTTTACATAAATACATTTGGCCAATTTTAAACTATTCCACTTACTAGTTTTTAAATTATTTAAAAAAATTAAAAATATTTTTTAAAGTTTAATACCCTGTATCTTTTTAACGAAGCGTCCTAGATAAAAACTTTATAGGAAATACTTCCTATAAAACCTTAAGACCTTAAAATTCACCAAAGAATACGAGGTTCCATTTTTGGTCGCCATTTGTGAATAAGAATTATTATTACTAGAGTTCGGGGTTTTCGTCGGCTATTCATAGGCGTGTTCGTCGTAAACAAATAAATAAATAGGTAGGTATAAATAAAAATAAATATTTTTGCGTACTTTATCAGCGAAAGGTCGCTTTTATCCCTTTGCGCGTTAGACATTGAGTATTAAAACACGTATACACGAAGCAAATGCGAAGTCAATAACTGCCGTTATTACCGGTTTCGTACGTGGCACAGTAGCGAAAGGCCGACGCGATGGCTATGATCATCTGACCGAGTCCCGAACTCTAATTATTACCTTATTTATATAAGTTAAGGATTCAGAATTTCTATTTCCATTAACGTAGCGTCGAGGATTGAGGTGAAGGTTTAATTCCTTCTTCCTGATGCTCTGATGAGCGAAATATTAAACTCTTTTTTTACTTTCTAAAATATGTGTACAAAAAATATGCAGTCTTATTTTTTTATGTGAATCACTGTTACTGAGATATTTGACTTGAATTTTGGTTATTTTTTTGCAAGTAAATTAGATAAATAAACTAAATAAATAAAAGAACATAATTATTTATTATGAAACGGTATTATTATTATTAGGCAGGCTTTTATTAAAAATACGTAACTGTTTTTATTATTTACTTGGTTTATATACCTACCTGTTCGTTGGCGAGAAAGTTAAGTGTTTGAAACTAAATATCTTAACAATGGAATTTATTTTGTAGTTTGGTAGGTAATAGAATGCGAATGTATGTTTCATCAAAGAAAAAAAATTAAAAATTCCCAAAAAATTATATTCATTATTATTCCTCATACCTAGGTACTTTTCGTTTTGAAATAATTTTACAAACCCCTTTAATGTATTTTTTATCCTAGCTTATTTATGCCATATGTTTAATAAGAAAATTACAATTATTTTTTTGTTTTCTACTGCCTTTTCTTGGGTGTTAATTATAAATAAGACAACAATTAGTAAGAGAACGTCCAAATTTGGATCTTATGAACAGAAAATATTTGGAATAACAATAGATGTTTTTAAATAAGAATTTCTCTTATGAGTTACTGCTATATTAAAAATACCTAATTGATTTATACCGAAAAAATAATTGTCATTTTTAAATTTGACCATTAATAATAAGTCTCCGTTTACGCATATATAAATAACATTGCCATTAACCAATTTTAAAAAGTAGTTTTTCAGCTTCATATCTACATCAAAAATTATGTCAGATGGGTAAAATAAAAACAAATAGGGCATCGTTCTAGAAAATCATAAGCATAAGCATTTGGAGACTTGTCGAAATAAATTTTTTAATATTTTCCTGTGTATTCTGTCATCCTTCCAAATATATCTACGATGTTTTTGGACTTACTGTATATGTATAATAAGCATATAAGTAATTATAAAATAAATTTAGTTTATAATATAGGATACACTTAGTATTGCAGTTTATACAGATCAATATTAAAATTTTGTAGGATCTTTGAAGAATTTAAAAAAATATGCATCAAAAGGAGAACAAAGAATTTGATAATCAAGAGCAAATTACTTTCATTTGCACTATATGAATGCAAGACAAAGTGAATTGCATGAATTTAAAATTAATTTACCTTCAATTGTAATAAAAATAACTGCTCCTCCCACTGTATAAATTATCATTATTATAGTAAGAAAAAAATGCGTGAACCATTTCTTACTCCACGATTTGATTTTATGGTACACGCGGTAGGAACATTTTTCTCCAATGCCCGTCCCTGATTTGTCCGTATTCACAGTGAAATTTTTAATGCCATTGATCTGATCGAACACAAACACGGAACCCTTTCGGTCGTATACGTCAGAGGTGGGTCTCCCTGCAGTATAAGACACCTTTGCAGTGTAGGGCGAAGGTGTCGTACGAAGTTGAGGTGGTGGAATGATCAAAGTCGGCCTGGCCCTTCTAAAACCCACTTTCTTCCCTCCATCACTGGGGGTTTTGGATTTGCTTGTCCATGATTTTATCGAACTATTGTCACTTGCCATTGTCACTTTTCAATTAAGTCACATTTGATAAATCACACTTCACATGAGAGCATAAATGTTTGGGAACAGTTTGTATTGTTTGTATTTCGGTAGCTTTGTGTAAAGTGCAGGGACTAACTGCTAAACGGCATGGCTGGATGTTTGCTAGATACAACGCGTCGCGGCGACTACAGCGTTTGATGTTTTCCATTGAGCTCCTACTCACTCGGTCTTTGTCTACTCCGTCGTGATATTTCTGTCTCTGTATTTTCACGTTTCTCAGTAGTATCCATATTTTGGTAGATTGGGGTGACAAGTCTTCACATCTCTAACACTTAGAAGACAGAAAAAGTATCAGCTGTACACAGTGGAGCAAATACCGATGTAATTCGGCTAACATTCGTAGTCTCGCAGTTTTGATTATAGTATATTGTTATAAATTATTGTGAGATGGTAATTTTCTTACCTCTATTTACTTATTCTGCTTCTTTGTATCCTATTTATCTTCTTTATTGTCTGGGCGCCAGCTCATATGAGCATATAGTTGTAATTTAATTCAAATTTTGTTTAATGAGAAAGTCTTAGTTTGAGAAAAAAAAATTTAATTTAAAATTCAAGCAAATTTTTATCTAATATAAGTAGTCTTACCAAGGTTCTGAGAAGATTAGTATTTTGATTTTAAAATATTATACTGATTAATGAATTTAGATATTAATCTTGAGAAGGAAAAGACAAAAAATTTATTTTAAATTTGAATTTGAACTGACCACAGTTATTCTATTTCTCGTAAAAATAATTTCTAATTCATTTAATACTCTGATCCTATATATTTCAAATTAAAATAAAAATTATGTGATTGACTAACACTTAATTTATTTTACTACTTATACAAAATTTTTTCTATCCTCTATAAACAGAAGTATTTTTAAATTAAACCTACGCCACTTCCTCTACTCTAACTTAAACTCAATAACAATATCCAAAATTTGGATGTAAATATTAAATTTAACACAAGTCTGTATTATATTAGGGGTTTATACCTCTTTACCACTGTCTAATACAATAATTTCTTTTCTTCTTGGTCCTTTACTCCTCTATTCCTTTCCTGCACCTGTTAGCACAACTTCTGTTCCTGACCTGTCATCTGTCATATACCTTGTTGTTTATCTCCTTGATATTTCTATATTACTATTCCCTGTCGGTGACTTGGATTAGATCTGTGTTGACTCGAAACTGGGTAATACTCTATAACAGTTAACTTTGTTTTGTTATTGGACTTACTTAAATTTCTATTGTCCGTAACCTTCAGTTAATCTAGTACTTGAGACTATTTTCTTCTACTCCTTCTTATAAATGGGTTTTCTTTATTGAATACATTTGTTTTTTCTGGCAATCAAATTATCTTAAATTAAAAATTTTGCCTTCAAAACTCCCCAATGTATTATTTTTCTTTCTTAGTTACCTCACTCTTTTTCTTTTCATGTCCCACTATTTTTTTTTAAATCACTTTCTAATTCTAGTAATCATCCAAATTTTTTATTACCAATCACATTTTCAATTTCGAATATACTTTATTACATTATATTTCTTTAAATTTTGTTTGAAATTCATTTTTTATGAAAATTTTTAATTGATCATATACTACTTTTTATTTATTTTATCTTTTTTTTGTCAACTTCAATCATCTACTGTACTCCTATTGGTCACACTTATTCAACTTATAATTTATTTCTTTAAAATCAATTTTACCAATTTTATTTTCCCAAATTTGCCTTTTGATATTTTAAAATCTTTGCCCCAACTCATTCTATTACAATATATTATGTATATTTGCATCAAATAAAACAGTTTAACAAGAGATCGGACATGTTAGGGCATCTGCAATGTGATTATTTATTATATTATTATTATTATTTATTTATATTATCATTCAATTATATTATATCAATTTTATATATTTATAAATTATATTATTAAAAAAAGGGTCTTAACGTTCTTATAACTGCATTATTTATATTATAAGAATATATAAGTAAGTTTTTGCATAATAGTATGAACAAAAAGGGGCGGTGTCTATTTTTCTACACTTACCGCTTCCTATTGAACTTACCATAAAATATACAGTGTGATTTACAACTTTCCGAAATAACTATGACAATAGATGCGTCATAAAAAATGGACAAGATCGTAAAAAAAAATTGTAGAAAAAAATTATTGAAATTATAGTATTTAAAACCCTTACATCGATGGGCTACTGAAGTCTCTAACGTCAATCGCGTTGTGCGCTGTACGCAATTCGCTCTCTCTCTCCCCATGTCGCCCCAGGCGATTCCAGATACAGAAATCCGATTGTAGTAGGTATTACATTACTTTTCCAAGTGTCAAAAATGGCTTACAGCAACTTGGAGTTGATGCATATCGTTTTAATGTATGATGAAGCAAGACAACATTTATAGTCCAATCAGTTGGGGCTCAAGAAGGGAGTTGCCTGTGAAGTTTTAGGGGAGTTTTGAAAATTGGTACATTTATAGATTATGACGTGCTCTTTCCGAATTTTTACTTTGCCACCTCTTTTTTTTCCGAAAGTAGGCGCCATATTGGAAAAATGGCGCTCCAAAACAGTTTTTCGACGATATTTCCTTTCCTTTGCAATTTGTCTGGTGATTTGCACGCAACAGATCTTTGATTTTTGAAGGCCTTCCTCGTCGAGGGTCATCATTTAATTGACTGACGACCAGTTTTCTTTTCAAAAGTTAAAATGTTTCTGTGAAAGTTTTCCCCAGTTTCACGCATAATTTTACGTTGCACCATTGTTCCAGAAAATCGCACATTTCAAAAACCGTCACCACCATTAAACACATTGCACTGAAATAACAATATCACAAAAACTGAATGAGGTATTAACAATTAAATAACATGTGACTACAAAGGAGATTATGCGCTGCGCAATGCTGCCAATCGCATATCACTAAATATTTCCATTAGCGCGTAATTCAAAACGTTCAGTTATTTTTTGAACAGACCTCGTATATTGGTATGACTGCTCTAATGTTGAAAACATAACTGCGTAAGAAAAGAAATAATCCTTTAATTTTGACCAAATAAAAATATTATCAAATGAACTAAATCGCAACAAAAGATTAAATCGAAATATGACGATAAAACAAAATATCTAAGTATACCACAATGTAATTAAATATTAAATATGTTATTTAATTTTTTAAGTTATTATTATTATTGCACCACTTGAATATTAAATGTGATTTTAATAAAAATTCTCATGGCTCTCTCAGTCAAACATTTTTGACATAACTAAAGTAGTTCGCAATTTCTCGTTTATTGCGTTGATAGTAACTAAAGCTGACATTGGATTTTCGACTAGTTTCCTTTACAAAATTAAACACAAATGATTTATAACGTTGTTGTTNAATCATAAAAAAAACGGAAAAGTACCGAAAGTTTAGGGTCGTCTAACTTTTTTATTTTAAGAGGCAGAGGAAAGTTATTTTAATAAAATTTCATGGCAAAATTGATATAATTCACTTAGTGCTAACAGATTTTTAATGTATTGTATGTAATTTGCTGTGTCCTCTACGCGGGCAAAAAAAAAATGTCATGGAAGCGGCTGTGGGTACAAAAAATTGCTTGTTTTTCCTCTTTCATATGATATACTACATGTTGCCTGTATCTTTTACGTTTATTACATTATCTATAATTTTGGTATAAAAAATGTAAACATTTTCGTGTTAACACGTGTCAACTATAATTTTTTTATAAATATAATAAACGTGTAATTCTTTGGAACTAATCAGTGACTAAATTGAGGTCAAACATCTTTTTAAAAAATATGAAATTAACATATTTTATAAACAGTATTAAACAAACGATACATTAATATACAATAATATAATAAATAAACAAAGGAGCTGCAAAGGCAAGCCTGTGTGCAGCTTCTCGTGTTTTATTACATATTAGGGCAAAATATAAAGCAAAGTAAAAGTGCTTGAAACAGATGCGAGTACAATTTAAAACAAACAAAAAAATAGCAAAATAACAAAATTTCTACAAAAAACAAATTAACATAGTAGGACATAGTATAGGACAAAGGCAAGTGAACGTTTATAACTAATTTTTTGAGTTATTATTTCTTCAACTCATATTCAATCGGTAGGTTTAATTATTTTTAATGTCTATATACTCGTAGTTATCAATTATACTTCTACCACAATTTAATATAAATTTCTTTACTTTATTTTTAAATATATTTTCGTTTTTAGAATCACGAACATATATGTACCGATATTAATTTCTTTTACGAGTATAATTATTGTATTTTACATAAACATGGAATTTGTCTTACTTAACTTCTTTTAATGTAGATATTGTATGTTCATCCTACTAAATTATTTTTGTATCTTTTTAGATTGATGTTAAAAGTTAAATTAATCAATAATAATGTTGATAAAACTCTTGATCAATTGCAAAATATCCACGAGAAATTGTTTTACTTCTAAAGTACCAAGTTCCCAACAAGACTTAGTTTTTGAAATAGGTACGTAATGGTTAAAAAATTTTGTAGCAATAAGTTATTATTTTATTATTATCTTCGGAAATAAGACTTACGAGGCAACGTTGTTTTTGCATATCCCGAATTATATAAGCCAAACGTTACCTGGTGAAAACCAGAAAAAAATGCTGATGGAGAAATGCTTAATTTCCGAGATGCATTGTTCTCAAGATGAATAATATGTTGATATATACTTTTTTAATATATTAGTCTAAGACAAACAAACGAAAACATATAATTTCACTTAGGTATTATCCTTTACAATATAAAATGGCGATTATTAACTAAAATAATGCAGAGGCAGGTTAAACTGGATGTTAAGATAAAAGTTTACTCCATTTTTCTTTGTGGTCCAGTTACTTAAAATCACACCTTTAAAATTTTTTGCCTAAACGTCCAACAAAATTTATTTGTGAAAAAAAAGCTTTATTTTTAAAAAGTCTAATTTTAGTTCTAGTCTTAAATATGTAAGTGAAAATGTCACATTAAGAAAGATTAAGAAAATTGTCCCTAGGTCTCTCAGTTTTCCCACCTCTGGATGTTCATATTTTGTTTTATAAGGAATGAAAATCTAAATACCATTTACTTCATTTATA